ATGTATCTAATATATATTCTGTCTGTATATGTGAGAGGACATATACTGATATTCTTGCACCTATATGTTACAAAGATTAGAGCTCCAACACGGACAGCACAAGCTACAATATGATTGAAAACAGCATAGATGCTTCCTGATGTTGGACAGACACTACAGTCCTTCATAGGTGTGAGTTCCCTGGATCTTGGGAATACACAAAATTTCCTATTTGTATGATCCAGGATTTAATCGGGTATTAATTAGCTTCAGATGCAAGACTTCCTAGCAGTGTTTTCCTCACTGCCCACTGAAAACAGACTGACATAACCTGAAGGTTTTTCTTTAAATGCTCCTCTTCCTCTTCAAGACCCAGAAAAAAAGCAGCCAGGAGTCAGGTAGTGCCCCCAAAACTTTACTAAAGTGCAAAGCAGTTCCTTCCAGACCTTTGGGACAGCTTATTTTGGTAGAATGGCTCAGTGCCCAGGAGCCTCGGAGTGTCTGCAGGAATGGACAAAAGACACTTCAGCTTCTGTGTACACCAAAACTAAAGGATCCTCCCGAAAAGATGGGTGATTAAGCCTCTATCAATCCAGGTTTAAACTGCTACTAAATATAAAGCCTGGATGATACACATTTTTACTAGATCCCCAGTCAATATCTGGTCATTTTATGGTAAATCCTCTACATTTCTTAACAGCTAAGTGGAAGCAGGTACAGCTACAGGATTCACATGCCTGTATACACAAGGCAGTAATTTCACCAAACATTGCCTGGCTAAGCCTAAATTATCTTGAAAAACTTTTCTGGCTACATTTTTGGGGTGAAAACCAAAAACCAAACCAACAAACAAAAGGATTCAAGTCAAAGTGCAACTCACTTTGTCTTTCAAGGTGTTGAAGATGACTGGACAATGAATAAACAAAGCCCCGTTACTTGGTGGTGGAGGGGATCCAGTTTGGTGGTGCAGTACCCCCACTAAGGCTAGCTTTTTCTTTGGCCTTGACCTGAACTATGGCAGCTCAAGCAAGCTGATGAAGAGACGCTACAACTAAATGCTGGGGAAAGGACAGAATTGCTTTGTGGCAAGGCTCTCTAACAGCCCAATCACCTTTCCTGCACCCATATACACACTTGGATTTTGAGCTCAGTAGTTGACAGCGGGTATCTGGCATCCCACATTGATTGAAGTCTCTTCTCTTGTACTTAAAACCACAAATATTGGTAACTGTCTCTCTGACAGCTTTTTTTTTTAAAAAAATGAAATTAAAACAACTGATCAAATTAGCAGCTGCAAAAATTGAAGGAAAAACTCCTCAAGACTTACATGATTTGTATTGGAATTTTAAATGTGTACAATAAACGTCTTCAGTTCCACACAAAAGGGAAATTAAACTCCCTTCATAAAAATGTAAGCCTGATTTTAAAAAGATAGAAAACTAAAAAGAATGTATCTATAACCACAGTGATAAACTGAGTAACCAGGTAAAAGCATAACAATGACAAAGCTTTACCTCCTCTTCCCCCACCTGAGGTGCTGACTTTTCATTAGTTTTGCCCTCTACTCTTTGTCATTCAGAAAATAGACAATCCAAAAAATACAACAAAAGCACTTTACTATTTAAAAAAACCCCACCCCTCCTCAAAAAAAACCAAACCAAACCACCAAAACCCAACCCATCACAGGCCTACGAACTTCCATGCTGATATCACAAAGAGTAGCAGCATGGACATATCTGAGGACACAGCCTCCTATGTGATAACTGCACTAAATGACACAGTCAGATGAGATCTTGTAAACTAACGGAGAATGTATTTCAATCAATGATTTTATTTAAAACAAGTAATGAAATGGTCTCCGTGACACTGGAAGATAGTCCACTGGAGGACGGATAAGCATTAATGCATCTCAGATTGGCTAGAGTCAACTAGAAAAAAGCCTAGGAATACCAAGGAACATGGAAAAACTCAAGAGAATGAGTGAGCATAATCCTAGAGAGATTTATTTAGTTTTGGACAGTCTGTCAAGGACTTGCTTTCTATCCTCCTTTCCCAATAAATTTTAAGAAATTCAAATAGATTAACTTTGTAGGGTAGTAGATTGCCTATGCAGGCTCCCTGGGCTCCGTATGCGTCCTCCATAGGGGAAAAAGAAATGTCAATTACAGAAGAGTCATTTTTAAGTGCCAAATGTTTCTAGGGGTGTGGGGCTGTTCAAAATCTTTTGTGCGTAATGGCTTACAACCAATTAAGAGCTGGACTAAGCTTTCAAAGTTTGTTTACTACTACTTTTTCTCCATTTTGTTTGATTCCTTGTACACTACAGACTGCGTGCAATGTTGTGGGGTGGGTGGGTGGGCGTTGGTTGTTGGGTTATGTTTTTTGTCTGGTTGTGGTGGTGGTGTCTGTTTTGTTTTTTCCAGTTGCTTTATGTTTATACTTCTGAAGTCTTACATGTCCCACAGTAATACCCTTCACACAGTGAAGTAACATTGATCTAGAGGAATATTTAGGAAGCAGCCAAAACACAAGGAACTAGCTGCTCCTCAGAGCAAAAAAAAAAAGTTTCTCTTCCTATTACTTATACGAAAGGCTGCACAGAGATCAGTTATACTCTGGTAACAGCTAGTTACCTCCTCCTGATGATCTTCACCAAACATGTCTGTTCATGAAAAATTATTTTTATTGCATACCTGGAAGTTCCCTTGCCCTGCAAATCGAAACCCAAACACAACTGCAAAAAAGCTCCACATTTAGAAATTTCCTGAATTCTCTGAAACCATCAATCAACACATTTCATGTGTGCATGAATTCAGATATGCTTTGCCTGTATCAGTCAATCCTAACCTCTCACGTCCATTTCCTTTACCTGTGAAAAGTTCATTATTTCCCTGTATAGCTATTTTTAAAATAATGAGAGGACACAACACCTGGTGCTTCAGTGTCATTAGCCTTGTAATTTTTGTCTCCAAGAGTTTGTGCTCCAAATACAGCCTAAAGAATAAGTCATTTCCATGCTTAACATCCAGAAGAGAGGAAGAGAAGTGTAGTTATATTCGAACACTGGCAAGACTGGAGTTGTTTATTTTGCTGACAGTGTGGGAAGGAACCCTGTATACAAATGATCTGAGCTGAAGAAAAGTTGGTATAGAAATAGATAAATCTCTAGAGAGAAAAGCATTCTCTGATAGATTCTCTGACCTTCCACAGAGTAACTATATGGTCCATCTCAGAACTAAACGAATCACATTCTCTAATACTTTCACTTTGTGTATTATCTCCCACAAGCAACTGAAAAATGGGATTAGGTGTATCCTAGAAATTATCCTTGGAAAATAACTATTCCACAAGTCCATTAAAGAACTCTTAAGTTGAAAATGAGCTGCTCAATCAACATGTTTTTCAGTGGCATATGTTGAACTGTCAATATACAATCAAATTTACTTACACTACCTATATGCTCTTAATCCTCTTGCATCCAGTAACAAAGATATATTTGTCTTTTAACCATTTTAATAAGTTTTGGCTTAGTATGTTTATTATGGAAGACCACAGTGACCGACAAGTGATCCTTTATACTCGTAGCTCATTTTTCCCCTTCCCCTACATATCTTTGATGAATAAGTGCATCTTTCAGCAATATGCAGACTTTATCACTTGAACGCAGCACTTTTTACCTATTCACATGGGTAAGCTGCTTAATATTCAATAACTGTGTGTATGAGGGGAATGACGACACAACCTGAACAGCAGCATCATACAAGTAGTAAGGGAGTTATGACAATGTTTAGTAAGAGCTCACAAAATTTAAACATGAATGCGTAAATAAAAAACAAGAGCCAGTTAAAGGAAGTGGAAACTGTTCTAAGATGATCAGTTTCTACAATGAGATCTCCTCAACTCCCCAGGAGATTTGCTGGAACCTTCTTCAACTTCTCAGCAGAATCAGTTGCTCTTGCAACACAAAAGTAGTACAAAAATACAAGTCCTTTAAGTTATAACACCTTAAGACAGGTACTTCCTGAGTATCAAATTGGTCAGATGTGACAGTTTCCTTCACATAGACACATACTTAAAAAAATGTTAACACGGTAGCACATAAGTCCTGTAAGCTTCAATTAAAACACCTAATGAAATCCTCCTGTTCTGATTTTTTTTTTCTTATACTACATGGATTTAAATACTGAGTGCAAATCTGAGGGGATAGGTCTTAAACCTATCTATGGTTTAGTTGCCGCTAACTCGTGGCTAGTCACTGGGCTTAGTGAATGATGTATTTCAAACTGAAGAGCTCCACAGAACATCTAAAATTAACAATCACCTTAATCTAAACACTGGGTATTTTAACAGGAGAGAGTATTTCCATTTTGCAAAGGCAATACCCATTCAAGTTAAAAAAATCCATTTCAGAGTCAGTGTTCTCACTTCTGTGTCCACAGAAGACTTGATTACACACATGGATATTATTTCCTGTTCCAGTTTATCTGCAATTTGAATAGACCGTACTCATGCTTAATGAATTAATTAATTCAGGGTAAGTCTCTACTTGGTTACACGTTAAAAGTCCTCTCATTGTAAAAGCGCACCTACATTATTCAGCCATCCAACTTAATCATTGTTGTAGTAAAAAGTCTGAATTTTAACCAGAGAAATGGAACATTTTCAGTATTTAAGGCATTAAAAATAAAATTCAAAAATATACCTAACAGTTCATTCAAATACATGTTTCCTAAAACCATGTTCTCAAATATACCAAGATTGTATCCTTATTAATACATTTATGCTAGTAAAGGATTAGATATCCTGATTACTCCAGCAAGATGAACATTATACAAAAAAAATACAACAGTATTGTTTTCTGTACAGTGATCCTTCAAGAATCAGCAGATTTGTTAACACCTTCTCCTTCAGCTTCCTGATAAGATCAATTTCCTTCGCAATGAGAAGCAAGTATAAATTTCAAGAAAGCCACATCCAGTAAAATTAGACATCTGTGTTTTTTGTTTCATTCTTATACATACCTGATCGGGATGATATAGGAAAACAGGAGGAGGAATCGGAAAAGGTTGCGATACCACGGGCCTACAAATCCTTGCAAGGTTACCATAACAACCGATAGTGCAACTAATGCCAAAAACAAGGCTTTGGTCAGTTGATTCAACTCCAGGTCCAGCAGGCCAACCTAGAAGTAGTAGTATAAATCAAGTTAGTCATGAGTTTTTTCTAAACTGACACTTTTGCTGTGCAAACAATTAGCTATTACTGGCTTTTTTTATTCCTATTAAAAATCCATCCACTTGTAACAATTAATTGCATTTTTATAACTGAATTGATTATTGTTCCTATGTTAGCATGCAACAAATGTTCCCTGGTTACAGGACAATAACAGTTCCCAGAACCAGCGTGAACTGTCCCAGCCAGGCCTTCTGAATGCCTTTACGTCTGACACATCCCTCTCCCAGGACACGAACACAGGATGGCAAGGAGAAAAGAGAATTAAAGATGAACAAATAGGCAGGAACAATTGTCTTCTGTCATGCATGCAGCAAAAATACTGGCACTGTGTATTATATTTGTAGGGTAGCTACTGCTCACTTACTGCTAGAAGATCGAAACCCTGTTAGATTCAAGAATCAACGGACAAATGCGACAGTTACCTTCTCATTCATATAACTAGTATACTGTAACTTGTAACTATACTCCCATACTGGTCTGTAAAACTGAACTAATTTCATAGAAATAATTTTTAATTGTATAAAGTTTTCAGTTATTCAATACAGTAATAAAAACATCAATCAAGTGGAATATCCATTTTCAAACCAAGTAGTAAACCAGAGCTTCAACTTTTCATGAGTAAAAAGGTATTTGATTTAGAAACATTGTAGCAAAAACATTAAGAGAGGCTATCTTTCATCCCCTGTTTCTCATGAAAAAATATTTTTAAGCTATGTAACTAAGACTCTCACCATTTCAATAATGTATGCTGTAAGCTAAGTATTTATAATCCACTTTTTGGGATGCTCTTGTAGTCAGTAAAATATGTGGGAAAATTATGTCAGGAAGAGTTTCCTAGGCCCTGTCACAGATGCCCCTTTTATCTCCGAGTCTTGCCAGTAAGACCAGTAAAACATAACACTTCCTTAGATAACAAACAGTCTGCAAAAGAACCACTTTAAATATAGTTCTTAAAAATTCCAGCAATCTTGCTTACACATGGGCTGTCCCTTCCCTAGAGAACCAGGCAGCTGAAGACCACAGTGGCTGATTTATCAGCTGCATTTAAAAAGCAGCACAACGAGGACAAATATCTTGCAATTTCCGCTGCTTCAACTACTACATAGTTTATGCTTGAATTATTGAGAAAAATAGGTTTTTGGATTAAAATGAAGAAAAATTAAGCCAGGGAAGTAGAGCATGTTTCAAAGCCCAGATCTTTTTGCGTTGACAAAGGCAGCCTAAGTTTCAGGCCTCGCTGAGGATCAGATGAAGTCATTATTCATTCAGTCAGGGAAAAAAGACTCAATTACCTCAACCTAAAGATGCTATCAATGAATGCAAAGTGCATATTTTACTCTATTCATCCAAATCCCATTAAAAAGTGAAAGGAATGATTTAATCTGGCCTTCTAGAGTTGGTCTTTTTTTGTAATAAAATAAAGAATCACTGTCTTGCAATATGCATAACCACTACCTCACACTTTTTTCCCCTGCATCATGGTAGTGAAAGCCTATCTCTCCCCTCAGCTCCCCCCTCTGCCCCCCGTAAAAATCCCACCCCAGAACAGAAATGAATAAAGAGCTTCTTTGGAAAGAATGCCACTTTTTGGACAGAAACATTAAATTTAGTCTGCTGCACACTGATACGTAGCTAATTCAAAGCATTAATACCTTTCTAATTGATGAAGACAGATGTGAATTCAAGTTTGGAATCCAACAAAAATATGTTTGGAGAGATATTAAGACAATAAAAAAAGTTGACGAGGAAAAATTTTAACACAATAAATCTCTTGCTCAAGAACATTCAGTTTTTTACTAATAATGCCATCCTTTTTAATATAGATCATACTACTGGCCATAGGCAGTTTTAATATTTTTATTTACTGTAGCAAGTAAAGGCAATTGCAAAACCCTACTTGAGGCAGCACACAAAGAAAGTTTTAATAGAACTGCATTCTCCATTTCTCAAAAATTAGTTACTATAATGTACTGAAATATACTTAGTTTAATTCTGTGTCTTTCCACTTTAACAACTTCTGTACTCAAACTAATGAAACACTGTTGAATTATCCAGATACATTTCATGTAGAAATTCACTAACTCTCTAAAATTCATCTGAGTATTGGAACAGTAGGTGAACTTCAATTTAACTACGTTGTGATTTTAACAAAGCATCTGTAATATATATCATCCTAAGAAAGCGATTTCTTTCCTTTTGAAAATAATCATAACCAGAATAATTATGACAACATAAAAAACAGATGAATTAAGAATTGGAGTAATTTTCCACATTTATTGCTATTTCCCATATTAGAAAAGCAAATTTTCTTCTACTTGTCATAATATTTGTTCTATTTGAAACAACTGTGTTAATGAAATTAAACACACCACTGGAAATTTTAATCTCCAAGGGAAAATTTGTACATAATGTCTAAGACAACCACAACAGTTTTGCAAAGGGGCTGCTCTACGATAATGAACACAATAATTGCCTGTGTAATCTAAAATGCTACTAATGGCAACAACTGCAAATCCATTTAGCTCCTCTTTAATTTATGCACGAAGTTTTAAATAGCTAATGGTTCTCAGTAAAATAATGGTTTACACCATCAATTGTGTACTTGCACCAAAAAAGCCTAAAAGTTTTTAAAATACTTTATTTTTGAATGAGGGAATGATTAAAGGTCTAAACTTCATATTTTGGACCACAAGTTATAAGTCATTATCTTATGAGAAAAATCGTAATTAGCAAAAGTTGAAAGCAACAAAAAAAACCCCAAACCTTTCTGACTACTGAAGTAGAACATGAACAGCAATATTGCCATTGCTGCCCTAGATGCTTAACTTTTGGGAAAGGTTATCCTCTGAAGCTATTATTGTAATAATAGAACAATTCTTCTAACTTTATTAAAAGTCTATTACTTGGAAAATGAGAAAATTTTTTTATGCTAGAATACTGAAATGCAAAAATTGATAATTAAATGTTGCACAACGGTAAAGATTTCTCAAAATAGTCTAGTGCAGTCATTTTTTATTCAATTACAGTTTAAAGTGCATTAGAAACAATTGCTCATAAATAGCCTTTTTAAAGTGCCCTACTTTAATACTGTTGAAGTATTAAGGCATTATCTTAGGAGAGACTTCCTCCTGCAAACAAATTCCTCCACAAAGTAATTATATTTCAGTAATCAGTCTGGTTCTGCACTGACAAACACTATATTGACCACAATGAAATTTCATGGTATGTATGTTTGAGATAGAGTTTGGCTTTAATTTGCACCATAAATATGAAAATTTTCCTTCCTGTTCTTAATACATGCTCTGAACTTTAATAAACCTTGAATACTAGTCAATTACTCATGTTTTTATTACTTCTAGTCTAAACTTAGATGTAACAGCTATGCAAAGAGTAAGGTAAGTATTTAAAATCACTAAAATTCAAATAAGATATCTTTCTTCTTTGGGCTGACAAAAATGAGCTTTGCTTAAGCAAAATGATTCATGGCATTCCAACATTTATAGAAAAATCATTTTTATATACACTCCTATATACAGTTAGCTGCACATATCTGAACCTCTATGGCTTTCTTTAACAATATGTTAAATCCTTCCTATAGTCCCTAGGAACAAGAGATTATTAACCTGTGTTTAAAGGCTACATAGACACATCATGATCTGTTTACCTTAATCTTTGACACTAAAAACATGTACACCAACTCTGGAATCTGTAAATATTTCTTCTTTGTTAAGTCTCCTTCTTCTAAGGTTATTCCTATGATTCAAATTCTTGACTGCTAAGCAATCCAGGTAACCACATTAAGATAATACAACTATGAATAAAAACAAGTAAAGCAAGTGAATTCAAGTTTAGGAAGCATCTTTCCTTAATTCACTGTACTCAAGTAATGGTCTGACAAGTATGTTTCTCTACAAGCCTGTCTTGATTAACACAAAACCCACCAAATCCTGCATACAGTATATTACACTTTTTAATCAATATCTTACTCTTTTAAGCAGTAGATTCAAAGGTAGGAAAAGCAAAGAAAAGACTGAAATATATAAAGTGACCATTTAGTGGTAACGGTCACCTATCCCTGCTTTTCCTCAGACATGTTTTCAAACATCCCCAACCCTTGTTTAACTGCAAGAGTACCAACAACAAACCTTGAAAACACTTTCTGAAGCACTAAAAACCTATTACAAGTTTTATACATTTTAGAATTAGAGCAAATAATCATGGTGGTGTGTGTATGTGGGTTCTACTTGACTTAGTAAAACTGAAATAAACTTTATTTATTTAGTCCACTCCAGTGGAGTTACACAAAAGTAGTAACCAGAAAACAGCCCGTTTGATTCCAGTAACATGTCAAAAAAAGTACACATCCTTCCTGCTAGCTTTAATACAACCTAACATCACTTTGACCAAACTGAAATATTTGGCGTTATGTTCATATTGCAGGCTTATGGAACTGAGTTATGTCTATTCTACACTGATTTCAAGAACTATTTTTAGATATTTAGCATTAATTGTATCCCCAAAGAAAAAAATTACAATTACTTGTCTCTATTCTTACAAAAAACAGCCCATATCCAACAGTTAGGCATTTAAAACAGTAGAAATATTCTGAAACTCAAGAAGAAATACATGGTTATCACCCAAAGGAAGAACAGTAAGCTGCAAGTAGATAATGTTTTCCTGAATGTTTTGATGCGTATTCAAAAACAGCGGCTTAAATGCTCTTAAAAGCAAAATAAGTTCATTACATTTCGAAATTACCCTTCTGATTTGCCTGTTTTTCTTTTAACAAGCTATTCATAACTGCATAATATCTGTGTTTGAAATAAACTAATCGCTTTAGAAAGAAAAGTCCCTTTTGTAGCTAGTAGTATCTATAATGCTAGAAGAAAATGAAAGAAAACATTTAAAACATTTCTTTCTCTCTCTGCCTCCTTTATTTGTCCATTT